TTTTTTTGTAAAAATGAAGCCTTGTGACCCACATGGACAATTACACAAATATGGACAGTTTTGAAAAGAGTGTCTTGTAGCAGTTTAACATGAGTACCACTAGGAAACTTATATTAAAATCTACTCTTAGGCATCCAAGCCTCCCGAATGACTTGGCTGGTGTTTCATTCTGTCATTGCAACAAACGTCACCACATGATTTATGTGGGAAAAATAGAAGAGAACGTTATTGGGTTGCCTTGATACAACTAATATATAGCAAAAGCAATAGCACTTACATTGCTTCACAGTGCTTCACAGCTCTCTCTAAGTGATTTAGAGTCAGCATATTGGCCCCAATAGTCTGGGTCCTCATTTTACCAACCTCGGAAAGATGGAAGGCTGAGTCAACCTTGAGCTGATCAAGATCGAACTTCTGGCAATCAGCAGAGTTAGCCTATAATACTGCACTCTTAAGTACTGCACCACCACGCAGTGGTAAAATTAATTGTGATTTTTACCCATTTGTACAAAAGAATTCAGATTTGATATTCATTGTGGATAAAGAAAGCAACTTGGATTCCCACTTGAATAAAAGTCACCAACCCTTACTAGAGGGAGTTTGCTTTTTCATCAGTTGGTGGGGTAGAGATGGTGCATTACTGTTGTAGACATAATCTGTTTCCACTAAGCTTAGAATATGTGGTAACAGTCCATGTGTTCAAATGTCTTATGGTATCACATAGTTCTAATTATTGTTATATTTTCTTTCCAGCTCTTCATCTGTCAGTATCACATCTGGCTAGCAGCAGATACAAAGGGAATCTTGGTCCTTATTCCAGGAACCCCCATGCTCAATATTATTGTCAGCACTTTTATATTTGTCTGTGTGGCTCATGAGATTTCCCAGATTACAAATGATCTTGCACAGATTGTTGTTCCAAAAGATAATGTAATGCTGCTGAAAAGGTTAATATGGGCATGTGTGTTTTTCTCCGGATTTCTCTTTTTATCATCTTTTCAAAAACAGTGAAGATGTTAACTTCCACAAAATCCTTCAGTCATTGCTTTAGCTTCATTTTATACCTCCTGAATCAAATGATAATCAGCAGGAATTACATACTCCCTCAATTTTGCTCCTGTTCCTGAGGAGCACAAGAAAAAGAAACATAAGAAGTACACTAAACATGTATATGTTGCCTAAGGATAACAGCCGTTCAAGAAAATAGGAGTGCATTATATACAACTGTACGGGGAGAAAAAATTGATTTTTCTGCTGGATGATTATTCTGTTTACAAACCTTTCTAAAATTAATGTAACAATTGAGCAAAATCAGCTCAGCTAGAGGCATTTAAGACTTTTTCTGGAAGCATTTCTTAAAATGATTAATAATTATTTACATCCACTGCATGGAAAAGCAAAACTGCTTATGCTGCAACAAATTACATAACCCACCTCTTGATAGCATTTTGAATTCCTGGAACCACATAGAGAAATCATTGAAGACTATTAGGCTTCAACAGTACTGCATAGCATCTGGGAACAAAATGTCTGTAGTGATTTATTTTAAGTTTCTGGGTACATGTATTATTTCTGGGGAACTTCTCAAGAACTGAGGGATAAAAAGACACTGAAATATAATAATGTTTACAAACTGCATTTCAGTTCACTAGATCTTCAGCAATTTCTCTGAGTTTAATAGTTGATGTTTACTTTGAATATTTTGAGCAGTCTTATTTTTCTTTCACTATTTATTTTTAATCAGTATTTTCAAGTCTCTTTAATTTCAAACGTTAATTGGAAATTTAATATTTCCTGTGATTTTCTTCTGAATTCTCCTTTCTGGTATACCATTGAATTAGTTTTTTCTTCTTTTCATGAAAATAATTTTATTGGAACCAGAGAAGTTTTTATCTGACACACTTCTGCAAAGAAGTTGGGCATTTAGCTGTGATTGCTCTGTGATTTCTGTAAGAATTACTTTTTGGCTTGGGAGAAAGTTTTTTTTTTTCTTTTCAGAATTTGCATGGACTGCATGAGAAGGACAAAAAAATTACCTCCTCAAATATAGGAATTTCAAAGCTATTTTACCAATCACTGTTTTAAAAGGGCTATAAAGCGGTTGCAGTTTCTTTTTGAAATTGATCATGCACAATCCCATGCAAAATAGGTAGTTCAGGAATAATATTACAAAGTTTTAAAATATAAAATGCTTATGGTTTGCATATGCCCTTCAAATTCCATTAATAATTAGTTACATTCTCAGTAGTATTTCTGTTCCTATTCACAAGCATGCTATACAGATGTTAAATATACAGTAATTGAATTTGAAGGAAATTTGACTTAATCTGAAAAATTTAAGTGGAACATGCCAATTCTAATATTTTAATTCTGGCAATTTGGAGTGTATTCCTGGGCATTTGTAGTCAAAATATAAGTATTATCCAGTATACTAACATTTGTATGGAATATGTAGATTCTAAGATGCATATTCACATTAAAATTTCATTCAGAATTTTCAGCACTAAGTTTGGGAACCGGAGACTTGTGGTGAAATAGTGTGTGTAATCTACATAATTTATTTTGCATTGAAAACTAAAAAGCATTTTGAGGTGCTTGGGAAAAGTTGCTGAACAAAGAAATGTCTATCTTTTGGGGGGGGGGGGGAAAGTGACACGTTGGGAGGTATGTTTATGGTATGTTAATTGGGGACTTAGCTTTGATATCAGTTGCAACATGTCCCTAATATGTCTGCATGTTGCATCCAGTTTTAGCACTTGAAGAATGAATAGACAGTATTGTTTTCTATGCATATGTACAATTATAGGGCTTTTTATTTATTAATGTGTTTTGATGTATGGAATTAGAAACTCGTAATTCCCGTTGTAATAGATTATACTAAACAATGGGAAAGAAGAGGAAATCCCACTAAATAATAATGGGAAAAATAGGTTTCAAACTGTTAAATGTTTGTTACATTAGCTTCTTGTCTAAGTCCTGTGTTCATTTATTTCATAAGGTGTGAAAAGTTCTGTTTTACCATTAATTATTTGCATTTTTTCCCTTCAGTTTTGTTTAACATGGATAGGCTGGCAAGTCAGGAGTTGAATGTACAAATGAGATCCAGTGAGAATTTATGTTAGGATGGAAGTGTTTTGTTGTTATAATCTGAGTATATAGATATTTTATTTATCTGTTGTACAGGTTTGGTTAAAGATTATTTTTTAAGTTTGAAATATTGCACTTGTTTGCTATATATTTTTTAAAGAATATATTTCAAAGTTATGTGAAAAAAATGAAGTAATTTAAGGTTTAAATAAATGTGGTGTGCTTATTTTTGTACTAAAGGAGCATCAATTAAGTAAAGGAGTGTTATGTGTATGTGTGTCTTTTTTTAAAAAAACACCTTTCTGAAGTCTTTTAAACATCTCTGGCTTATCATCTGACATAAAATACATGAAAACACTACAATATTACTTGTACAATTCTTATATAAAATATTGCAAAAATATTGTTATAAATAAATCCTTTCATAAAAGGCTCCAGTAAAAAAATAGGACCTAATAGTTATTTTGCTGTGTATCATTTAAAATTACTGTCTCAGATTTGTGGAAAAGGAAAATGACCTTGAATTACAATCCCTTCATAGAAAAATTAGGTAGAGAAAAAAAACTGTTTTGATACAATGTTTCAATTATCCTTTGGGTTTTTTTCTCATAGCTATAGGAGTAAGAATGGTGATTGTGCAAAGTGTTATACAAACACAAATTGTGCAAAACTTTGTTGCTTAAATTTGGTTGAAAAATTAAATGGCTATTTAAAGTTTTATGTAATTAAACTACATTCCTACAGCAACTTGGAAAAATAGCTCTGCTTTCACCCACTGATAACTGTTTTAGAATCTAAACCCTTCTTTAACAAAGAATAAAGGATTTTTCACATTCTTCAACAAATCTTCAGGCAACTTGCCCAGATCATAAGACAGAGTGAATAGTAGTTTTATCATCACAAATTTTATGATGTCTCCATTGGTCAGTTTTGTGTGGTTGTTAACAATAAAATAATCCGTAGTAAAATTCGTCACAGGATGATGGCTAAAATGGCTGCCAAGTCAGTATGTTGAGGTCAATTGCTTGGTTAAAGGAATTAGGAATCTTCAGGCATTCTGGGATGCCAAGATCTTGAAAACTGACTCTGCCAGTTTCCCCAGGAGATTGCAATGGGGGACTATCATGTGGGATGTGATTGATAGATTAACAGACCCTACCAATGCCCTTTGCTCATCCTACTCCCTCCATCTTTTAGTTATAGTTGATAATTTGAAATTGTATAGTGCTTTATTATATTCATGTTTTTTGTATTATTTTTTTAACATTGCAAAAATGTTAAAAAATCCAGAACATATTGCAGTGAGATGTGTCGCAAACAAATTTAATAATTAAATAAAATAAAATAAATAACAGTGTATATATCAGTTGTGGATCTTCATTTCTTGATCCATCAGCAGGGGTATTATATTTTCCTTCATTTTATTATTTGCGTCTCCCTTCTATTTGCAAATTTTCAACAACACTTTTTCATCACTGCATTCTCAAGGAATGCAAGAGAGTTCTCTCACCATTCACCAGTAATTTTTGGAATAATAATTCAACTATTCCAGAATCCTTTACTCAGCAGATCAAATTTGTTTAGCAATTAGATGCCTCTTCAGTTAATATTTGGAAATTGCAACAATTGAATATGAAAGAATATCTCTAAAATTTGATGAAGAAACTACATGACAGTAAGGCAAGTTCTGTGCATTATGCAAAAAGATTTTGTAAGATGTCATGAGGTTTAAAAGTGGGACTTCATTGTTTTGTGTGGATGAGAATAGGTGCTCAGGGGCAGCACCATCAGTATCTTATTGGACAAAATTTGTTCAATAGTCAGAATCTTGGTTCAATTTATTTAGAATATGCAACAGAAGACTAATATTTTTTCATTTGGGGAGAGGTCATTAGGAATTAGAAATATTTAGCAAATTGCAATTTAAAAACTTTATTAAAACTAGATGTAGCTGGAGTAATGAAAAATAATGCTAAATGCATTTTCATTCTAAAAATACAGTATGGAATAATAGTACAGAGGAAATCAAGATTAGTGCTAAGAATAGAATATATTCTTAATTAGCAATATCTAGTATTGGTAACTTTCTGATTTAACAATTTCTATATACGAAACATGGCAGAAAAAGAATTATGCTAGTTAAAAACGTCCTGCAAAATGACTGCATTAAATTAAAATGCAACATGCTTTAACTTCACTTTTTAGTTTTCTAACAAAACAAAACCTTAACATGAATACTGAACATTGTTAACATAGTATAAAAGAAGAATACTTTAACAATTATCTAGTTGAAATAATAGCTGAGTACTGTATAAATGATTTAATTAACATACGAAAATTAGTATTTTACAAATTTGTTGAAAATACCCAGTATAAAAAGATACAGTACATGTAACAATATGGAAATGATATTATTTGACATCAGAATATTCTCTTAGGCATGCATTAGAAACATTCATGTGTCAATAGAGCAAATAAGGAAATGAAATCTTGTATTGGAGTTTGATTTAATTACAAATTAATTGCTTCTGTAAATTTTCTTTCCTCAGGGATACCATTTACCTGGAAATGACAATTCATAAGTGTATTAGATTTCAGAAGTTAATATAGTTTTAAATTATAGGATAATTGTGATGAATCTAGACCAGATTTAAAAGATACTTATATATTGAACTTGTTCTGCATAAAGTTAAAACAGTGACAAAATAAACTGGAGGACAGAATTTGTAGTTCTTCAGGTGTTCTTGAACTATGACTCCCAGCACCTCTTATTACAGGTCATGCTGCCTGCAACTGCTGGAAACTTGATTAGCAATAAAGGAGAGCTTAGATTCTTCTTTTATCATTGTTTATCACCAGATAGAAAAAAAGCAATACTAATGTAATACTTGCCTCCAATCTTTGAAATGTTGTCATGCGAAATTCTCCTTTAATCCCCGAAAGCAGCAATAAAAGTAACAAGTAAATTGAATACAGATCTCCCACTTAAATGAATTCCTATCATAATTTTCCAGAGAGATGGCCTTAAAAGTTTTTTACAGCCAAAACTAGTGTGTTGTGGCACCTTGAAGACTGATGAACGCTTTACAGTAGCATAGATTTTTAGGCTTATCTCTTATATATCAGCTATATGAAGTATCCAACACTGACAGCTACCAAGCACATAGGCTGCATGAAATGGATAATACTACATAAAAGCTTAGCATAAATTACTTTTTAAAATGCTGCTCTCAATTTCTTCTTTTAAATGAACCTTCTATCTAGTTTTTTCCATTTATGAAGCATTTGCAAAATGGAAAAAAATCCTTTACTTAAGAAACACAGCTGGATTCAGGTAGCTTTCCCAGACTGAAATTGGGATTTTTCCTTCACGCGTAGGATGAAATAGAGCTGTTTTGTTCCAGGGGAAGAGCCAATAGAAATCCCATAATAGCTCATAAGATGTGGGGAGGGGAAAAAGGGAAAGCATTCAGAAGATCAAGAAAGAAGGAGCGAGCTGATGGAATATGCCATATTGGACATTCTGTACAGCTGAAAGGAGTGAGGGTGCTAGTGGGATGGAGGTTGGTGAGACATTGGCAGCCTCTCAGACAGAAAAAACGAGTTGATGAATGGAATATGACAACTGGGACATGCAGAGACAAAAGATGGGGTGATTTGCACAAATATTAGACCCATCTGGATTTTATTTTGTCCAAATACTTGAAAAATCAAGTGTTCTGGGTTTTGGCTTTGCCAAGTCATACCTGACCTGAAATGGTTTAGATGAACCTCCAGATTCAAAATAAAACATTTTCCTTGTGGTCTGCATAGCTCAAAGTTTACTTTGTTTGCCTGCCTGCAATTTTTAGACAGAAATTAGAAACAACCCACAATTCTATCTATGCCAACGTAACTGCATTTAAATGCATTTTGATAATTAACAGTAATGCAAATCTCTCCATCTCTTCTCACTCTGCTCTGTGAACGATGGTCCAAGAACTATGCAATTAAAGAAAAAAAGATTGCAATACAGTAATAAGGATCTGCAAAATCTCCTGCATAATGTATTCACGCAATTAATAGCCCATTTTGGATTCTGTGTTGGTTAACTGAAACATGTACTTCTGTTGCAGACAGAATCCAGGGCAGGACTGGTTGAATCTGGATGCAGTCCAAAATGTTATAGTAGTCTACAACTTTTTAGTGTTCTCTTCTGTTCCAGTTATATAGTTAGATTTGCTGTCTGTCTTTTGGGTGTTAAACTGTTATATCTTGAATGCTTCAGTTTGGACTAACAGAAGAGGAGGGAATAGTTTTGTCTCTATCCTGGTTTAAGTTGGATGGTGAGTGAGGTGATCTGGCTGGAGCTTTGGTTAATATCAACAGGCATTACAGAGTGCATGGTACAGCAAGGGAGTCATTCTGGATTTAACCATCCTTAAACAGATGGTGACTAAAGGGTGAGCAACAAAAGAAGAAATTGCTACGAGGGATCTTGACTAGACTAGTCGGGGGTTTCTTTTCAAAAGGATGATGCTCTTGACAGCAGCAGACCACTGGTCCAGGCTGAAGAAAAAAGTGGATTGTTTTTTCTATCATACTTTGCTTTGGTTTCTCAGAATATATGCTACTGCTGTTTCTTGTATAGATTCATGCATGAAAATTGGACTCCAAGTTAGTGAATTAATGTCCTATGGTTTTCAAATAAGCTGATGTAATGTTGAAATTGAATTAAAGGTGTGTGTTCATGCATATGTACTACTGTTCACAGGCAAGACATGAAAATACAAAAAGTACCAGTACTGATTGTTTTGGTTAACCTGCAACTTAGGTGATTCAATGTATGTGCATTTTAGTTCCTCTTGGGGTTGAATTTCTAGAGTCTTTGAATATATATTTCCCCTTTAAAGATATTTTGGAACTTCCACAATCAACAAAAGGATATTCACAGCTAAACTCAACAAGATATCATCCATGTTGAGTTTTGCTATTACTGTTATTATTGTCGCTGTGAACTACAATAACCTAGATGGCTCCTAGAACTGGTTATTCAACAGATCAGTAGAAAACATGAGACTTGTTCTGAATCCCATTATTTTCTAGAAATAGAGCATCCAAACCATTTTTGTGTTTCGTTTAACCAAACTAGGAAGAAACAACTCTTTCCAAATTTTGTTTAATATGAACTACAGTTAGTCTGATATCAGATTGTCAGAACTTCTGGAACATAGTATTTTGTATGACTCCATAAAATTTCCATTTTGTATAAATTTCATTCCTTTATAATCTAGCTCATTTATTTTTATTTAATAAATAAATAAAAATTACCTTCTGTTTGCTGCTGAGGAATCTGAGTCTGATGAGGCAGGTTCCTATAAATAATAATTTTAAAAACTTTTAATATACTATTATGTTTGTAAACAAGAAATGCCATTATTCTGCCTTGTTATATAATTTAGAATCCATAAAAATAAGAATGCAAAAATACTGCATTTATTTTTACTGTAAGGTAGCAGTTTATATTCATACATACATGGTGGAAAATAATTGATGTTATGTGTTATGTGTAAAAGGACATTAGAGACATATTTCAGAAAATAATCTAAGACTGTAATTCTCCAAACAGAAAAGATTATACTGTACAATTGTTTGCTAATTGGGATTTATAAAAATGACATTTTGAGTCATTTTGCCTATCATACCTATTATTACAAAGCAAAAATAAAGTTTTTTCAACATCTTATGCTCTTGTGATCATTCTACTATCCTTCGCATTTCTTTCGGTCTATTATTTGCATAACATTTTTCTCTTTATCAACACATTATCAACTGCCAAGATATATGCCAAATAATCATATATCTTATTAAATACATCTAATTCCTTAAAGATAAATTTCTCCAAAATTTATTAGTTTTAATGAGACCAGAAGAGCTCTTTGTTGATTTCCAACAAACAGAAGTAGTAAAATACTATCACCGATCTTCCATTAAAATTAGGAGTAATCTCCCTCTAGATCAGGCCTGTCAAAGTGACAGCCCGCAGGCCAGATGTCATGCACAAGCCACACCCATCCTGGCTCCGCAAAGGCAATAAACATTGTGATATGTCATGATACGACAGGTGACCCAATCGAATTTGCCTTTGCTCTAGATCCATGCTCTAGATATTCAAGATATGGATCTTTCTAGTTGTAGGCAATAAGTAACCTTAATTTTTAAAAATACCTATAGCTATCTGTTGAAAAAGACTTCTGAAAATCGCCTAGGCAGTCAAAAAAACATACAAATGGGTCAACAAACAATTCACCCTAATTTCTCATTCAAAGCACAAATGACCAGGGTCAATTTATGCTTCTTCAGATTACGTGAAGACCTAGCACTCTGCAGAAGGATGCTGCAAAGGTGGAAGACGAGAAGAAAAAGATGACAAGCTGTAAGTTGAATTGTCTTAGTTACAATAGCATTGAATGCACGATTGGAAATCTTGCATGACTCTGTTAAGGACAGTTCATCATGGAGAAAAATTTATCTGATTCTTAGGAATTTACACCAACTTAATGACACATAATAAATCATCTAGACTTAGTAACTTTAATTTTAAGAATAAGAATTAATTTAATAATTTTAAGAAACTTTTTGTTTCTGAACTTATTTCATCAACAAATGAAACATTGCTAAAAAAATTGCCCGATGGAATTTAATATCACAAAATGGTGCATATTTATATTTAATATTGCCTCTATTGCCTCTTAAAACTTTAGATGTATAAATGCCAAAAATGACCTCCTCAAGCTGGTTCTTATTACATGAAGCACACATTGAACAATTCTGGATATATCTTTCAAGGAGCAATTTATAACATTTTAATGAGCATAATTAGAGCTTCTTTTCCCAGAATATCTTTCCATTGAATCAAATCTCATTTTCCATCTTGTGCTCATTTTGATCATTGTTCCCCGTTATTGACATGCATGATTGTTGTGCAACCTGGTGATGCTACCTCAAATCAAGTCAAAGAATAAATCACATTAACTAGTCAGACATCATATATCATAGATATATGATAGCATATCTGATAGCATATCTTATTGATAGCTACAATGTATCTGAATATGATATTATGAAAATCTAAGATACTACAGGTCAATATTAGGAAAACTGGAATATATGTTCTTTAATCCTTTTTCTCATCCCTGGAAGTATCTCTGAGAGACATATTCAGTTTTTTTTCAGCTATAAACACTGTCTTAAGATAGGAGTCATGAGCCTCTTGCCTATAGGCTGCAGAGGGCCCACCATCTGAAGTCATCTGTTCTATGGTACCAAAAAGTAACATGCTCCCATTACACAGGGAGACTGCTTTTTGCTCTTTGGGGAGCCATTCACCATTTGCTTCAGCCGAGGCAGAGCAATAATAGCCCCAGAAATGATAACAATGGCATGGTCTCTGGTCCCATATGGAGAAAGATACCAAGCGCTTTCTTAAAGGGATGAAATTAGACAACCAAATGTTATTTGAGGTCTTATAAACTGAGTAATAATGTTCAATCATTTTCTTTTTAAAAACTGTAAATTAGTGTTTCAGAAACATACAACAAAAAATAAATTACAAGAATGTGTTCTACATGCAAAGCATTCTACAAGAGGTTTCCCCATCTTCCGCACATTCTAGAAGAGCTGGGAATAAAATTCAGCATCCTCAGATAACATTCTGAGAATGTAGTTTTAACACCTGTAGGACCACAAACTCTAGGACTTTGTCTTATAAAACTACATTGTAATAATAGTTTTGTAGTGAAAAAGGTTAGCAGATGTCTATCAAAATTCAGTTAAAATACCTTATTTCAAGCAATCTGTGTTGATACTTACTGTTGTGTTTGCATCAGCGGCATGCTAGTATTGTCATAATTGTCTGGGTGAACAGGTGGTACAATCTCACCAGTGACTGGGTGAAAAACAGGAAGTGTTGAGAGTGGCCATGCTATCTCTCTGTTTTTTGCCATCTCCCGAAGTTCTTTTGTGGATTTCTGAATTGCACTGTGATGGACCAGCTGAATACTAGATAAAAAGGAAACATTTTTTAAAAATAGGCCTTATCATAAGGAGTGCTGCAAAAAAAAACACCTCAAATTATTGTCAAATAAATTCAAAAGATATGATCCATATGAAAAAAAATTACTGAATTTTATTTTGGGAGGCAAAGAAATTTTACATGCATATATACACGAAACACACGGGAGAGAGAAAGAGAGGAAATCATGACATTTATACCTATTTCCTCATCAAAACAAAGAAAAATACCACAGGCAAGGCAAAAATCCAGTGGCAATTTCCAACTTCCTGTTGGCTTCTTCACTGAGCTTCCTTGTGGGAACTTGCTAGTTGACATTGGAAATCTTTGTTCCTTTCCTCTCTCCCATCTTTCTCCCCATTCCTTGTTTTCTTTTCCCCTCTTTTCCTTCTCTCCCTATATTTTTTTCTTCTCTGCAGGCAGGTAAGGAGTTGCTGCCACATGGGAAAAGGACCAAGAGAGTGTGCAGGTGGGTAGCATGGTGCAACCAAAGAGGAACTGTTCAAGGATGCACAATTTCTTCATTGACTTTCTTCCTACAAGCTTCCCACAAGCAAAGTGTCTGCTAGGGAAGGTGGCAAGGAGTGTTGACGATCATACCAGTTCCTTCTGGTTCCTCATGGACTTATGGGAAACTGCCAGGGAACAATGAAAATGAGGCTCACATGACTGCAATTGACAGTGAGTAAGATAGCCCGAATAGCAGCAGTGCAGCAGCACTGATGCAGCAACCAAACATCTGAATTTTATTCCTTTGGGAGTAATAGGTCCTTGTATTCTGTAAGTTAGCCCATTTGAAGTAACCTTGTTGGCAAAGTTTTGCCCGATGATGCTGTGTTTTGGGGAGGATTACAAACTATCAAATAGACACTATTGTTTTAATAGTATATAGATATAAACATATACCCACTGTGAAAGATAATCCTCATTTAGCAATCATCCTTCGTGTCATTGAGTGAAACAGATAAGTGAAACTGTGCTCCTTTGTTTTATAGACCTGCGAAGGTTGCAAATGCAAAGATTGATTGTAGAGTTAATTTTTCATCACTGTCATAACTTGGAACAGTTGCTAACTAGGATAGTCACTAAATAAGGACTACGTTATACCAAAATAATATTCAGTAATTTTTTGATATGCCTCAAACAATATAGATAATAGAGATAGATAGATACATGATAGGATAGATAGATAGATAGATAGATAGATAGATAGATAGATAGATAGATAG